CAACCAGCAATGTCTGCTAGGAACTGGATAGAAGGCACTCATACGTCTCAGAAAGTCACTCAGGCCTCAATCATGAGCGGAACTCGGAGGAGACAACTCTCAGCATTGGAAGGGAGCAGAAGGCAAATGATCTTCAGCAACATAATATGCATCATTCCTACTAAGAAGGAAAACAAGACTCAAAGGCTGGTGGAATAATGGAGGACACCTCAGTGCTGGATGAGATTTTTAGGCAGTTATTTTCTTTGCTGTTTAGTTTGTCACTGTCTGGTGTGACGCACGATTGGACACACATGCACTTCAAGAAGAACTTCATAAAAGTGTTAGAGACCCAGCTTTGCTTCCTTTTCAGAATCGTTTCTGCTCCATCTGGGTCTCCACAGATGTGCCAGCACAGAACAGGCAACAGAACAAGGAACAACACAGCTTTAGAAACAATACAAGTGGGAACACATTGAAGAAAAATTTCTGCAGGGCTTCCACAACTGTAAAGGACCAAATGCCCAGACAATAGCCAGTCTACTCCATTTGGTACGGTATGGTTTGGTATGTCCAGTATTGCCTCTCCTCTGCTTGCCTGTCTGTCATTTCCACCCAAAGACGGAGTTCTGTAATGAGAGGCCTTGACATCGTGTTACACCTCACCAGTTATCCCCATCCCTCTTCCCTCCTCACAGTGATGTTCGGCAAGGTGACACACAGAATTGTGACTTCAGAGAGGCAGCAGAGGTGTGGAGGGCAAGGCTGTGAGGTCATGTTTAAGCAGCCAATGTCCAAAATCAAACCTCTGAGCCCACTTACACAAGCCATGTGTCATCTGAAATTACATCTGCCTCTTGAAGACAAACAAATTGCTGTAGAACAGAAAGGCCATGGGTGGCTAGAGCGTGAATGGCAAGGGTATATTCTCCCCAAAACTGACAAGGTATATTGAGGTTTTAAAAGGGACCTGCCAAACCACTGAAATTTCTCTATCCATCACTCTAGAGAGCCAGAGAGAGCTAGATCTACTTTGTAGAGCCCAGAGTTAAAGAGCTATATTTTGGTCATTGTGGGCACAAGACAGAGACAGTGCTGGGAGCAAAGAGAGGCAATGGGGTGGCTAAAGATAGGGATGTCCAGCTCTGAACAACGCCTCTCCTCTGCAAGTTGCAGGGCATGCTTTCCTTCGCTGGCCATCCCCACTGGCCAGGCATGCATGTAGATATCATCTTCTCCTTTTGGGGTCAGCGGTATCACAGGTTGCTCAGGTTTCCCTTATTTTTGCAGAGTGGGGGGGCATGCGCTTCTACCGGAGGAAGCTGTGAAGATACCCCATCTCCCACTGCCTGCAGGCTGATGCTTCAGCAAGGCCTAGAGCAGCAGAGCCCAGGTTTTCTGGGGACAGTGCCTCTCCACAGGGGCACTGGGACTAGAGTCTGCTGGAATCCTGGACTCCAGATTTAGCAGATTCCTATCTGAGCCTGCTAGTGAGTGGCTAATTAATGCTTTCTGGGGGCACACTCCAGATAGAAGGGGAAAGTGAGAGACAGGCCAACACTTCAGACATCTGAGCCAGTTGAGCTCCGTGGGCAGAGCCTTCTGCCTGCCACTTTCCCCAGTGAGTCTCGCCTGCCCTGCACCGTCACGCCAGGAGAACCTGAGACAGCAAAGCTCTGGTGTCCATGCAGTTCCCTCATTGCAATGCATTGATCGGAGCTCTCTTAAAGAAAGTGGCCTGGATATCTGAGACACCTATTGATTGCTCCATCGGCTCTCTTCCTGCCCTGATCCTCATTCACTTGGCATTGCCTGAATAACCTGCACTTCTGTGTTAGGGGCAGTCTCCCCAGATCTTAAAGGGCTACATTCACAGCTGTTCGCCTAGCTGCCGCCCATGTAGGGTGGAGAGATGATGCCTGGTGACCCTTATATGCACTCCCCCAGGGGAGGGCCTAAATCTCTCCTGCAGCATCAAGCTGAGAATTTCAAGCATAAGGCAGAAGCTTGAAGTTCAGGTTACCTGTTTTTGCCATCTTTGAGTACTGGTGCCTTCCGCCTGAAGAACAGGCTCATGCCACATGCCCAGCGGGCAGGACGTGGTATGTACATCATGTACGACGACAATAACCAGGAAAATCTTTCCTCCCTTAATGAGAAAAAATCAGGTAGTACCTAAGAAATTAGGTACTAATGGAATATCATACCCTTCTTCAGAGGAAGGACAGTTTCTTTACCCAGAAATGTCCCCACTAAGTTACCAGCCCAGTGCCAAGGGCATCAAGGAAAAGCCTTTAAAGAGAAGAACTGGTTTCTAGATTTCGCCTTTAACCACAAGATTGTTTTTCCCCAAACTCCTGGTAATCAAGCAGGAGAAAGAACCTGGCTTAGCAACCTTCTGCCATGGATGAACTCAAGGAAGAAGAGAGGTACACTGAAGCAAAGTAGGAAAGGGAACTATTGAAAGGAAAAAAAATCATAGCTCAAGTATCAAGACACATCTTGTCCTAATGAGTGCCTGGAGACTGCAGAATAGGCCCTCTGGGGAAACCAAGACATCAGAGGTTTTTAAAAACAGTTAAACTACTAGAAATGTACAGCTGGGAACACTCCTGCCCTGACAGAGAAAAGGGATGGATGAGCTAATAGGATGACAGATCAGAAATGGAAAAGACCAATGAACCTTTTCTAATCAAAAATCCCTTGTCAATTCTGCATTTTTGAGCAAGTCAAACAATTATGGATTTGTTCTTTCCAGAAACTCCTGGCTCTGTGGAGACCAGAGACTGTAAAACCATTTTTCTCCCTTTTTGGATTTTGCTTTTAAAGATGTATATTGATTGAATTCTGTATACTAATACTTTGTGCTTCCACCAGGCTTCACATAAAGTTAACTAATCAGTCCTCAGAACGCTTTTGCAAAGCAAAGCAGTATGACCGTTCTTTCTCAGCTTGGGAAACCAAGCAAAAGAAAGAGAAAAAAAGATGCATGCCCAACATCACCTGACCACTCTGTTAGTCCTATTTGCAGATTGCCAGTGTAGTCTCCTCTACTCCTCTTGATATTGTCATGTGTTCTTGCATCCCATTACTATCAATAAATCTTTATACTGTATATTCCACAGCTCTAAATATTATGGGCAGGATCACAGATACACTAACATCAATAGCAGACCACCCTTCCCCAGTGGCTTTAATGATGCTGAATCAATCCCTGTATGAATAACTAAATACACTTCGGCACAAAAGCAGCCTTAGAGTCAGATTTCACTTTGCCATGAGTAGTATCCCACAGGGTTCAGGAGTTCAGCCACAGCATGGTGTGAGTGAACCTTTCCAGCCTAACTCTGGTCTGGAAGGAGTTAACTGTTTTCACACAACTTGGAGGCTAAGCCACAAACCCCTGCACAGGACCCTGCTCTGAAATGTGTGAGCTCCCAGAACTCAAAGCAGAGGACGCCCTGGCCACACAGTAAGACACACCAGCGCTGGCTCCTGTGACTCTGCTCCCCCAACTGCCAGCTCCAAGAGACTCGATTGCTTGGGCGCAGGGCAGCACAGACACAGGCAGCCCGCGAGCCTGGACCCCCGCTGCTGGTCTGCCGCTGCTCTGCAGAGTGGCTGGAGCCGCATCGGGCTTTTAAGGTTGTTTTATGGCATCTATATGAGCAGGCTAGAGCACATTACCAATCTGTGCTCCCATTAAAGCCAGTGTCACTAATGCGGATTGGCATGTGCGTAGGGGAATACATCCCCTCCCTGAACTACCACATGCAGAGAAGCAGGTTTCCAGTGGTCCCTCTCTGACTCTAAAAGAAGGTGCCTGCCTCCCAGCAGTGGATCAAGATCCTGTGAGTCTGCCATCTCTACACCTAGGTCAGGGAGGGCCAGACTACACTAGTATGCATCTCCTCCCCTTGGTAACTGGTGTGCTCCAGCAGGAAGATATTTAACAACAGAAACTACACATCCATCAAAAGACAGAAGAGGGTTTAACGTCTAATCTACATTCTTAACAACACTGGCTGCCATCAACTTGCCTCTCAAGAAAAGAGAGAGCCCTAGTGCAAAGCAATACACGCTTAAGCGACATTGGACAATTCATCACCAGCTGCTATGATGCTACGACCTGGAAGCAAACTGCGTGCTGGCGCCTTGGCTCCAGCATACAGGACTTGCACAGACCACAGCCAGCTGCTGTTCCTTGTGGTTAAAACTGAGGGGATAATGCTCTGCCAGGTACAGCAATGTGGAGGGTTACATGCAACAGCTTCTTCTTGCTTCCCCCTCCTCCCCTCACTGCCTGTCCCAGAGGGACCCAAGGGAAACAAAGCTTTAAAGTCAATCCATAAGAATGTGTTTAATTGCCACTGAATTCCCTGTGGTTCACCTTGAATGGGCAAGGATTGGGGAGGGGAATGGGGGGAGGAAAAGCAGCACCAGAGAGAAGCTGAACACTGCTCAGAGAGCACTGAACAGATCAATAGGCTGAGCACAGACAGGTTGAGTATGCAGGGCAGGGACCCACAGCTCCAGGACAAACCTGCGCTATCCACCATCTTCAGAAAGTCTCTGGAGTCGGAATATGGGCAGACCTTCATTGCACACCAAGCCATAGCTCTGCATTAACTCCATCCTTCCCTTATGAAGCTCAGCCAACCCAGTCATGATCACATAAAAGCCTCTCCTTCCCTACTTTGGGGGCAAGAAAAGCAGCCCCCTCCAGCCTGGGGTTCCTTTAGAAAAGGAAACAGTCTGGCACAGCACAGTTTCCAGTTATTTGTCAAATTTGCAAGTGCTAGAAGTAGTATCCTAGCATCAGGGTGCTGACTAGAAACACTGTCCTCTCTGGACTGCCCTCTTGGTCATCGCCCATCCTGACTCTTTTACAAAGCCTGTAAAAAGATACCTTCAGAAAGCCAGAGAGGGCAAGCGTGTAGTTAGCCTAGGAGATCCTGCAAGGCCTGGAGTCCCAGGTGCCGTTGGGACAGAGAACAATTCTCAGTCTGACTCTGTCTTACCTTCTTTTAGCATCCCCACTTTGAGGCATTTCATGAAGCGACAGGCCTGACAGGACTTGCGCCTCCGTTTCGTGATCTCACATTCATTGGTGGCCGGGCAGCTGTATTCAATATTCCCTGCAATCAAACACAGAGATGGTTACCCAGGAACCACATTCTCCCCACTGATCCAGGGACAGGCTGTAGTGCCCAGATATTCCCACCATCATCAGTCTGTATATGCTGTATGTTTGCTCACTCATTTGCACACACACACACACACATTCTGAGATCACAGCCAGCTGATGATGGCTCTTTGAGAGCCCAGCACTAGTTATTAGAACACATTTCAGAAAAAATCAGTACTGTCCTATGTATCTGGAGAAACCTGTCCATCCAAGGGCCTGACTGCAATGCTGGGCCTTCAGGCACAATGTGTCCTCCAGGCACGTTATCACCCTTATAATAAATGCTGCATCCCTTATAACTTGGCCTGTTCCCTGAACTCCAGGGCTGAGAGTGCGAGCAGTTCAGACATTAGCAGCATTCCCCCTGCTGCCAGTCTTGCTCTGTGTCCATGAGATGGATGTCACCTGTCCTTTCTTGCCTTGCTTGGGGGACCAGGGAGCTCAGAGATGGCATCTCCCCCTTTGCTTCCTCCTGCCGGCAGGCATGCTATAGGTAGCAGGGAAGCAGTAGGTCCGGATTAAGAAAGACGGATATGTCCTGTAAAATGAACACAGGCTCTCTATGCAAATCTTTCCCGTTTCACTTCATTAGTCCTTGTGCACCTGCCTCTCATCCCTCTGCACAGAGCATCAGCATTTATTTCCTCATTCCCTTTCACTTATGATCACCTCACAACACTGCCTCCAAGACAAAACAGGGAAAGAAGCATCCCAAATTTATCTCTGGTCACATCATATTTTATTATAAGCCAAGAACGTAACCGTAACATGGATGCAAGTGTCTGATATGAGGATGTAAGTGGAATTATGCTGGATCACAGTGTAACACAACAATTATTTAGTCCTAGGAAAAAAAACCAAACAGCCAGCTGTCTCCCTCCTTCCATTCACTTTGGAGGTGATGTTTCTGAAGAGGGTTATGCAATGTTTGCTGTGGAAATCTAAGTTTGACAGTGATGCGTTGACAATGGCAATACACTTAAGGCAGTCTAGCTACTGGGTAAATGAGGCAGCTCCAGAAAGGATTTGTAGGATCTACAGTCAATTCAGAAGAATGGAAAAGTTGATTTAGTGGTTTAAAGCAGGAAATTGAGATTCAAGAATTCAGTCAGAGCTGTAGGGAGTGTAGGTAAGGGCCAAGAGAACACACAGCGTGGACTTCATATACCATCATATTAGAAATAGAGCTTACAATTTAGTAGCACTGGGACAGGACTTGATGTTTGTTCCTACTTCTGTAACAGATTTCTATGTTCTTGTGCAAGACCCTTCCTTCCTCTAAATAAAACAATCTGATACATACCAGTCTCTGGGAGTGGTGATTAGACCTTGGGGCTAAGCAGTTCGAAAGCCCATTGGGAATCTGACTGGAAAGACAGAACACAGATTCAAACGAAAGAAAGCACTACTTGATTTATCTCACTACACTTGGCTCATGGTGGGTGAAACCCCAGCAGCATACAACCCTCAAAGTCTAAAGGTGATCTGCCTGCTAGTTATAAACCTTCTGCCTCTTCCTCTTGTTTTGTCATAAGACTTGCAACTTGCCCCTAAGCTCCAGCCTAGCCACCCCATTCCTCACGAGTGCTCATCTGCCCCCAAAATGAAGTTTGTTTGCAGGAGCAGAGCGTGATGCACGAAATGCTTCCATTCAGACTGTATTTCGTCATTGTGCAGCATCTGAATTTCAATAGCCAGCAATGTATCAAGGTTCTCAGAGAGCTGGAAATTGAGATTCAGGCTTGATGTCAAGGTAATAAACAAACTTGTGTTCTAGACGCAGAGCTCCGGCACATTAGAAACCCGTGAGTACGGAGGCCCTGACCTCATGATCAGATACTCGCTGTGCCCCACACAGGAAGAAACAGAGCAGGAACAAACCTGAGATAAAACTCAAACACAGTCTCACTTTGGAAGGTTTTGTCTCAGTTTCAGTGCCCACCTTCCTCACTAAAGCCAGGACCAGAGTTCTCAAGACATCAAGATTTCATGTTTTGTGGTCCCAAGGCTAAAGATTTGCTCCCTAACACAGAGAAACTACAAGGGCACTGAGCCCTTCTAGCAGCAAGAGGCAGCGACAGCCCTCATCTAGCAGCTCAAGGTCCCTCTACACTGTATTAAGCAGATCCCCCAGGTTCCCCAGGCCTCCAGCCCATGGACCCCTGGACAAGCAAAGTACTGCAAATGATCTACAAAACCTACACCACAACTAAATGTGATAGCGTCAGAGCAGGTGTAGGTACTGGTTACCATATACACTGTCACAGCTTGAATAAGCAGTTCTCAAAGGCACTTCTGTACTGGGATCGCAACTGTTAAAGGAGCGGAGCCAGAGGAGAGTAAGCACTGGGCAGGCTCCCCTTCCCCGACAGCAAAGCAGTGGCCACCACGTAGTGCAGCAGCCGTGTGATTTGCTGGTAAGCACAGGTGAGAACATACACCCAGCACTGGTGGGACATGCTGTTCATTCAGCACTGGGTGGACATGCTTTTCAGCAGGCTTTCTACCTTCACACTGAACACAGGCTCACGTGCCCCTTGCACACACTGTGCCCAGTCTAAAGGAAGCAAGGACCAGCAGCTGTGTTTTACAGCCCTCTTTATAGGTGCAAATGCTAGAGGTGAAGCCCACTGTACCCTCTTCACACAAGACAATGCTGCTAAAGTATGGAGTTTCATATCAGGCCCCAAAACACGCTCTGCACTACATGGATTGAGAGCTATGCCTGGGGGCAATACCTGCCATTATTGCAGGAAACAGGGACATCACCAGGGAAGGCACAATCAGCATTACCCAAGCAGAACTCGTACAAGCAAAACTATCGTCTCCAAAACTTTAACAAAGTTCTTGTGACTTTTTTTTTTTTGTGTCTCAATTTCTTTTATGGGTCCTGGGGCTGGCTGCCAGGCCACCGAGCTGCTCACAGCTCCCCTTAATTTCTGT